CTCGTGATGCATTAAGAGGTATGCTATCCAAGTCTAAGGGGGTGAGAGCTCCCCTGATCAGATCCCACCAGGAGTATTATGATTAGATATGGGTACTACATTTAGGACACTGACAAGTAGAAAGAAGCCAGAGGAGAGGAGCCAAGATGCCAAAATATATGCCATATGAGGGTCAATTGGAGGAACTGGATATGTTTAACCTTCCTAGAGAAGATGTGTGTGTGTGTGTGTGTGTGTGTGTGTGTGTGTGTGTGTGTCTGTGTGTGTGTCTGTGTGTGTGTCTGCATGTATCTGTGTGTGATGGAGGAATAGGGGCAGATGATCATACATTTAAGTGTCTGAAGGACTGTTGTATAGAGCAGGAGGGCAGGCAAACTGCAGCCCTGCAGACCTTGGCCTGCAGCCTGATTTTATATGGCCTACAAGCTTAGCATGGTTTTTTATTTTATATAATTATATTTAAATAACTGTATTTAAAAATATTTTTACAAATCTAGCTGAAAGCCATGCAATAAAGGGGCAAGCCCTATTTATCCCTTAGTTTACAGACCCCTGATGCAGAGAGTATTTTAGATTTGCCCTGCTTGTCCCTTATGGACAAACTAGGAATAATGGGTGAAAGGAGCAGAGAGGCGGACTTTTTTTGTCTGACGTCAATAATCAATAATCAAAGCTATCCAAGAGTAGAATGTATAGTCTGAAAAGGTAGTGGGTTCCCTAGCACCAGAGGTCTTCAAAAAGTGCCTGGATTTTGACTTGTCAAGTACTTGGAAACAGCTGTGACTAAGGTAAGGCCACTGGAGTTTTCCACGAAGGCAGAAAATTAGAGAGCTATGTCAGCACTCTCCCAAAATGTGTCCCCTCCTCTGTCTAGCCCTTATTTCTTCCTCACCTTTCAGCGGCCTAAAAAGTTCAGTGTTTCACAGTATGCTTCCTCTCACCAGTAGCTGTCCCCTTGTGTTCCCTCTCCCTAATCTCTGTCCTTCAGCAGCATGTAAATTGAATTAGATTGTAGGCCCAGGCTGACTCAAAATGATTTGGTAGGTCAGGTTCCACATTGAAACAAAATAAAATATTCACATTATTTAGCAATTAAGAAAATAAGATTTGCTTCACCATAGCAGGGATATGAGAGTCAATAAGGTTACAATTTTGATTCAGTTAGGCATAGCTTTCTTTTTCGGTGAGGCAATCAGGGTTAAGTGACTTACCCAGGGTCACACAGCTACTGAGTGTCAAACATCTGAGGCTGGACTTGAACTCAGATCCTTCTGACTCCAAGGCAGGAGCTCTATCCACTGCAACATCTAGCTACCCCATGGGCATAGCTTTCTTGCCTCTGCATTGGCCATGCTGATCTGCTGGCCAGACTCTTCGAAGAGGAGATACTGATTCCTCATGCACCAGATTTTTATTCTTGGTCAATCAAATAGCCATAAGAGTATCCTGAGCCTTAGTCCCCTGAATAACTGGAGTCTCAGGAATGGTTTCAATACGTTCTAAGTAAAAATTATCCTGGCTTGCATATCAGATATTGTTTCTACCACAGGTGTCTGGGGCAGACCTACTTTCTTGGGCTGCGTCCTGGGCAGACCTCCCCTAATTTGCTAGTTAAGATTCTTGAGGGAATTCTTGGTCAGAAATAGGTTGGACAACATGGTCACTAAGGTCCCCACTGAATCAGAGATTCCACCATCCTAATTCAGTTAAGCAGTCTTATTTACATAGTACTTCACAAAGTGCTTTCTTGACAACAAGCCTTTTTAGGTAGAGTGGCAGAGACACTTTTGTGACTACCGGTAAATCACTTAATCTCTGTGGGCAAAGGTTTGTTCCAGAATGGACATTCCGTATCATTACCCCCACTTTACAAAGCTTTTACCTAGATTCTCTCACTTCCTTCAGAGGTCAGCTAAAGTCTCCCAGACAGAAGTCTCCTCCAACCCCCTTTAATGCTGGCACTTTCCCTTGGTTGATTATCTCCAGTGTATCCTGTATATGATTTGTTTGTACATGGATTTTTGCACCTTCTCTTTTATTCATTTGGGAGTTCCTTGAGAGCAATTACTGTCTTTTACCTTTCTTTGTATGCCCAGCACTTAACACAATGCCTGGCACTGGGAGGCACTTAATGCTAAGTGACCCAAATAAGGTCACAGAGTCAAACCTAGCTGAAATGACTGAACAATTACAAAAATATATATATAAGGGAAAGGGATCTCCTTACTACAAAGGCATTAAACTCAGACAGAAATACTTGTATATTCTCAATATAACCTACCAGCCCTGAAGTCAGGAAGGACCTGAGTTTAAATCTGCCCTCAGATACTTACTAGCTATGTGACCTTGGGCAGGTCACTTAACCCTGTTTGCCTCAGTTCCTTATTTGCAAAATGAGCTGGAAAAGGAAATGGCAAACCACTCTAGTATTTTTGCCAAGAAAATTCTGAATGAGGTGGCAGAGAGACACAACTGAAACAATTCCACAACAGCAATGCTAGTTGACTATCTCTACAAATAATGAAATAGAATCTCAGCAAAGTGTCTTATCCTCAAACACACAGTTGCCGAATGGATGAACACGACCAACCCAAATCTAATGCTCTGCCTAAAATAACACATTTTCCATTTTAGTACCTGTCACATACCTAGCACTAAAGTAGGTATGGTAGAGGTGCAGAAAAGGTTAAAGTATTTTTTTCCTCTTCATATGGAACTTAAGTGGGGAAAATGGGAGTTTTGAGATAACAATTGTAATGCGATAATAATAGTAAAGCACTGTGTAAGTAATATAGTAACTGCTATATAAATGTTAATTATTATTATGAAAAGGCCCTACATGCTCAGAACAGTTCATGAAGAAGTGGAGACATAATGGACTAGAAGGATTTTAAGTCATAGGACCTGTGTTTGAATCCTAGCTCTGATACTTCCCTTTGGCTTTGGGCAAATCAAATACTCTTTGAGAGGAAACAGATTTCCTAATTGATGATCAACTCTAATTCCTGTCATCCTAAAAGACAGTATATAATAAAGTACTAAATTATTTAACACATATAAACAGAGAGTAGGGCAATATATTATAAGCTGTTAAGCTATGTGGAACATCAATGACTCAAACAAAGGTCCCCCTTGGTTCACTCTCTCAACTCCTACTCATATAGGAAGGTTGGGCCTCAGAGGGTAGCTGACTTCTCCAACTTTCAGGGTACTAGGATAACTTTGAAGGATGGTAGCTTCTAGTACTGTTACTGACACACTTCTATCCAGTAGGTTCCCAGTATCAAATAATTGACATCAGTTAGCTTTTACAAGGAGAGTTATAGCAAGAAGAGTAATTACAAAACTGCCTTTGCGAATAAGCAGGTACATTCTCCTATTGCACAAACAATATCCCTGGGAAGAGTGGGCTAAGACTTAAAATACAAAGGCAATGAGAAACACATGTAGAAAACATGTGACGTAGAAGTAAATGTACCTTAATACTTCTGGCCCTGGGAGTCCTTTTCTTCTTTTGTGGAGTCCCCATGAGGCTCTTCTCAAATGTAATTCTCTGCTGGCTGATTAGGGTTAGCATCTTTCTAGAATCCACTGCTAGCACTTCTTTCCATCACATCCATGAAGGGCCGAGGGAAGAGTACATCAATCAGAGTGTATTAAAACTCATTTCTGACTCAGTTTCTCCTGAATCATCAGCTCCTCTGGCTCTGTAGCAAACCAGAAGACTCCTTGCCACCACATAGCATTCCTACCCTTTCGCCTCTTCGTCCCTAAGTCTCTGTTCATGTTTGAATTAGACTCAGCCAGGAATACTTGTGTGTGCTCAATATAACCTACCAGGAAAAGTAATCCAAACATGTTCTAAGTATTGGCTCTCTAGACAACACTTCCTCCCCTTCCCCCATTATGTACTTAAGAAGTTATAGAAGGGAGAGAATGATGGCATCACAAATTTCAACCTGGAAGGTACCTTAGAGGTCATTTAAACCAAGCCCATAGTTTTATAGATGAGAAAACTGAGGCCTAGTAAGATGAAGTGACTTACCCAAAGTCATACAGCTAGTAAGTGGCAGAGATAGGATTTGAACCCAAGTCCTCTGACTCCAAATCAATTACTCCTTGTAGTCTACCACAGTATTTTCTAAAGTCTTCAGGGAAGGCTTCTCAGAGCAAATGAGAGGAAAAACGGAAGTCTTTTAAGTTGCAAAGGATGTATTCCAACCTCCTACCCAATAGCAGTTTGGCTTCCACGATCTCACCACCTTTGCTTGAACTCTTCCAGTGACTGTGATCTCACTACTATATGAGGCAATCTGTCCCTCTATTGGATAGCTCTGGTTATTAGCCAATTCTTTGTATGGAAACTAAAATACAACTCTATATAACTTTCTTTCATTGACCCCAGTTCTGTGCTTTTGAAATAATAGGATAAGTTTAATCTTTGTGTCCCATTACAATCCTTCAGACATTTAGATAGTTGTCATATGCTCCTCATGTATCTTATATAGCTTAAACACCCTTTTGAACTCTTCCTTCACTCCACCGTGATTCTTATCCATTTCCTTCTTCCATGCCTTTGTGTGGGTGGTCATCATGTCTCCCTCCTTGCTTTTAGCTCATAGAATTCCTTGCTTCCTCTAAAGTCCAATTCAGATGGTACCAGCTACGCAAGGCCTTTGCTGACCCTACCTTCCATTGCTAATGCTCTAAACTTTAGAAATAACTTTGTGCAGGGAAAGAAGGCTTCATTTTTGTCTTTGTGTCCCTACTGTCTAATACAATACCTGGAACATAGTGAATACTTAATAAATGGTTATGAATTCGGTTGAATTGTTATTAAAACTTCATTTTCCATCCCCTGACTAAAAACTGGCAAAGGACTTTAAGGCAATTCAGGACATCACAACTCGCCATGGGTACCTCCATGAGTCACTAAATTATTGGGACACATTCATTGGAGGAAAAAGGAAACAAGCATTTATTAAGTACCTTCTACTTACCAGGCATTTTGCTGAATGCTTTACAGGTGTTAGCTCTTACCCTTACAACAGTTCTGGGAAGTAGGTGCTGCTATTAGCCACAGATGAGGGAACTGAAGCAAACAGAGGTTAAGAGATTTACCCCGGATCACACAGCTAGCTTCCAAGGCTGGATTGAACTCATGTCTTCCTGACAACCGGCTCAATGCTCTATCCACTCTGCCCCCTACTTGCTTCTAAAAAACACAGGAAATCTAGCATTTCCTCATAGAAAGGGTGGCTGAGAGCAGAGAGGACAGCCAAAGAACTCTGACTTTGCCCTAAATTTGTGGCATAAAATGAAACCTCTCTCATCCCAGGAAGTCTGGGGTCACAGTCCCAAGTATTTAACCAAGTTATCATCTCTAAACAGTACCACAAGAATATACTCACATTTAGTCTCAGTAGAAGCAATGTGGCTAGTCCACAAATCATTAGCACTAGTGGACCCTTCCTGATTCTTTTAATGCATTGTCTCTGATTACTCCTAAATGCATAATTAACAGCAGCTAACTCCAGATATTTATATTGACCAAAAATATTTATTGACTGACCAATTAACCAGTATTGTGAATTTTCCTGTCAGTATACTCAGTACTCATTTTGACTGCTCTGAAGCTGACACAGGGGTTATGCTTTCCCTCAGCTCTGTTTACTTTCTAAAACAGGCACTTAAAATGAGATTCTTAAAGTAATATGTTAGTTTGAAATGTCTCTCCTTATCCAGTCCTCTTTTTCTTCAGTCCACTTGGATAATTAACATGTCTACTTACCCTCCGCTGGAGGTTAATTTCACTTGCAAATTATATTGCACTAACTTATTGCTGTTGTATCTAGATTTCAGGTCATTCCCTATTTCTACCATCCAAAATCAACAACTGGGTTTAGGAAAATGTTTCATTCCAAACCAAAGAAAATCCAGCAAACTATGTTTTGGCCATTTTGCTGAATTTCTAGAGAACTGAATTCATGTACAAATATTTGAATACATCTTTTTTGGAAATTTAAATCTTCAGAAAAACTTCTTTATTTATTGACGTTACCACCACCTTCAGATATGTATTATGTAAACCTACTATGTACCTAACACTTTTCTAGAAACTGTGGGGAATGTAGGAGTACAATACTCAGCACATCAATTCAAGTCAATGAGGATTTATTAAACTTATAATATACCTTAGCAATTCAGAAGTGATGACCCACAGTTGCTTTGCTCAACATATCCCATTCAGCACCTTCTAGCACTTGCTAATAAATGTTCCCAATGGGAAAGAGACATATTATTTCAATTCTTCATAAACCTGCAAAGTATTTCTCTCTATGAATTAGCCACCAACCAACCTTCCATTCCATTATAGTTTAACAAAAAAAGGAACAGTGGGTAGGGAGCCAAAAAAATATGACTTCCAGCCCACCAGAGTTTTCATTAACTAGCCGCGTCAACTAGATCAAGTTTTTTATCCTCTTTTGCCTCAGTTTCCTAAAGTACAAATGAGACCGTTGTACAAGAATGATTTGAAAGTGTCTAGACACCCTAGTAATCTATTATTTCTGAATTTACTTGTTAGAATAACTTCCTCTATAAAATTTTTTTTTACTAAAAACAGGCATAATTCACAAAGCATTTATTAAGTATTACTCTGTTCCAGTAATTGTGCTAGGTACTGGGGATACAGATGCCAAAAGAAGATACTTCCTGCCCTCAAGGATTTACATTATATTGATATAGGAATTTTATTTACCACACAGTTCATTGGGAAGATCTGTGAACTGTGAGTCAAAAATCACTGGGTCCAAGTATTAGGTCATTTCTTTACTTTGTAAACTCATTCAAATAAGTCATTTACCCTACCCCAACTCCAGCTTCAGAACTCTGAGTCTCAGAATCCTCACCTGTTAAGATTAACTTGTACTCCCTCACAGGGTCATTACAAATATTAAGTGACATTATCAATGTAGCTGAATTTTTTTCTTCACTGTAAAATGCTACATAAAGACAAAACATTACTATTATGATTCTCCTCTTCTGGCCTGTGACCAGAAACTGGAAGAGTTTCAGTTATTGGCCCAGTAATGAATTCTGTCAGTTGCCTAAGGACCAGCCTACCTAAATTTAGAAAGTCTCCTGGAATCACAGAATTTCAGAGTTGGAAAGGCTCTCCTCCATAAGGTACCTATACCCCAAAACAATAACTGGTAAGTGGTCATTCAATCTCTGCTTAAGACCTCCAGTGAGAGAAAACCTACTATCTTCCAAGGCAACCAAGGCAACAGCTATGGTTAACTCTCTGATAGTTAGGAAGTTTTATCACTTTCCCCCCTGACATCAAGACCACTTTTTTTCCTCATAATTTCTCCCCTTTGCTCCCAGTTCCGTCTTCTGTGGCCAGACAGAATAAGTCTAACCTTATCATATGGGGGCACAACCTGGATTATTACCAAACGTGCTTGCAGGATTATAAATTTAGGGGCACAACAACTCTCAAAGGCTATACTACAGATAGGTTGCAATTTTCATCTGTGAAGGGAATTTGCACACCAGTGAAGTTATATATCTTTGAAGTAGTTAAGTATCATTAATGATAATATGCTTGCTTGTTCTCATAGTGCATTAGAGGCTGTAGAAAAATAAAGATTTGGGGGGTGGAAATTGGGCTCATTATCTTCTTCTGAAACCTAGTCCTCTTCTAAATTTCCCTATTTCTGCTGAGACCACTACCATTATTCCAGAAACCCGGTTGACAACCAGGAAGTCATCCTCTAAAATTCCCTCTCCCTCACGTTTCATTCATTGAAACCTCTCTCAAATTCACCCTTTTCTAAACCATTTACATGGCTACCACTCTCATCCATATCCTTATCACTTCTCACCTAGACTATTGCAATCGTCTGCTACTTCATCTCCTTGCTTTCAGTTTCTCTCTTTGCCAATCTGTTCTCCTCCTAGATGCCAAACTGATCTTTCTAAAGCATAGATCTGGCCATATCATTTTCTGTTCAAGAAGCTCCAATGGCTCCCTTTGCCCCCAGGATCAAGTAAAAACTCCTTTGTTTGACATTTAAAAACTTTATACAGGCCATTTCCAGTTGTTCTGATCTATGTCTTGCCACTGGACCAGATGGCTCCAGAGGAGAGAGTGAGGCTGGTGACTTTGCACAGCCCTCCCTCACTTAAATCCAATTCACTTTCAAGTCATGGCATCACCTTCCTGCTGTCATGGTCCTCTTAGAGAATGAAAAACAAACAATAACCTGTGAGTAGTTCTGAGCTGCACATTGAGGAGCCAAATGGCCAGTTCCAGTTCGGCAATGCAGCTCCTTCCTTCTTCCCTCCCATTACCTTGCCTCCTTCCTCTCCCTGTGTCCACATAGGGTATTATACCCTTACCTACCAGGTGCTCTGCTCAAAGGAATGTAGATTTTGATGGCTGAAACCTAGCAAGATATTCCGGGGTTTACAGGCTAGATTTCTTTCTTAGAGACCATGCCTTAAACCCAATTCACTCTGGCTCTCATTGATTGGCTGACAACAGGTCCCAGCCCAAGTCCCACTTAGTGGTCATCATTTGATGTCTCAGAGTGAATACAAATAGTAATTGTTTCTGTTTTGGCCAGAACCCTCAGAGTCTTCCCCTCCAAGATTGATTTCCATTTTTTTGTTTTTGATTTTTTTATTAGGGAAGAGAGGCCATTCTTTGACTCATTTCTTTTGCAGCCTTAATCACTGAATGGGTGTGTTGCCTCAAAGTGAAAAACTGGAAAGACCTTAGCTTAAAAAGGCCAAGGTCTCCCACTGCATCCCAGACCACTGGACCCTGATGGCTCTGGAGGAGAAGGTGAGTGAGGCTGGTGACTTTGCATAACCCTCCCTCACTTAAATCCAATTGATGTGCAAGTCATGGCATCACATTCCTGGTGTCATGGTTCTCTTCAAGAATGAAGGACAAACAACTCTTTCACTCTCCTTCTCCTGTGCCTATGGCCCTCGTTTCTACCTTCCCCGCTCCTCCCATATTAACAAGCAAAATTTCTCCCTATGCTGAATGATGCTCTTTTGAAACTTCTAATTAATCAATAATCATTGTTAATGTACATTAGTACCTGAGACATTAGTGTACCTCATTTTAGACAAATCTAAATTCCCCCAGGCAAAATGCATAACTCCTCTACAGATGACATGATAATCCCAACTCTGGGGGGGGGGGTTGAGTTTAGTCTCCATAATTGCTACCCTCTCCTCTCTTCTCAACCCCACTCACATGGATTCATAGATATGCACACATCTATACAAACTCAGGTACTGATAACTACTGCTCTACCCTCTGCTCTGGCAGCAGAGATCTTCCAGATAAGTGGATTAGCTCAGCCCCTAAAAGAATTAGAATCTATTTGGTTTTGTGTTTATATGCCTAGAATAGGGTCTGACATTGCCCCTTGACCCATCTGGTCATGGGCATTCGAGAGGTAACTGAGGGGTGTCCCCAGACATATCCCTCCCCCTGACTATTTGAGAATCTGTTGTTTAAACACTCCTCCCTTATGCTCTCCTCTTGCCCTGCCCCTTGGTTGGGAAGAAACCTGATGGTGAAGTTGGGAAGCCAATTTTCTCTAGTTAAGCCTCCCATCTCTCTTTTCCCTCTGTGTGCCAGACCTCCCCATGTTCCCCTGGAAGTGTGGGATACAATTTGAGATACTTTTGCCACCCCAGCTGTTGTTCACCTCTGAGACCCTAAAGTATTTTCCCTTCCCCATATTTCTAGCCCCACCCAGGAGACTTCTTTGTTCTCTGCCTCAGGAGTGCTTAATTTCTTGGGAACTCAAGGCTATAGTGTCTCTTTGAACAAAATCCAGATAGCATGCCAGTCTGTAAAGTTTCTGGGCCACCAACTCCCGGTCCCAGCCACTAAGAAACAATTTCAAACTTTTCTAGGTGTGGACAGATTTTGTAGACTTTGGATCCCTAATATTAGTTTGATTGTTAAGCCCCTTTATGATGGATTTTGGGGAAACGTCCTCTGGTCTCTTAAAAAGAGAGCATACTATCTTATGCCCTGGTATAACTTACAGCATGAACATATTCTCTCTAACC